TGTTGCCGTTAATGTCGTTCGACGCTTTTCCCATTATGAAGAAACTCTGAGAAAGGATTCTGACGTCTAATGTTCTCGACTGCGATAGAAACATGCTCATTCGTCTTTAACCATGATTACCAAAGTCTGTAATGAGAAGAGAAGTGGAATTCCCAAAACTTTGACTTAATACTACCACTCGCTATGTTCTTCGACAATATGTATGCTCCAAAAAATAAAATTCAATGGGTTCGAACGTATTGGATTTTATTTCTTTTTTTTTTTGCTCTGTTACGTCTTGTGAATATTTTACCAGCGTATTCTAACTATTTGTATAAGTTGTTTTTTGATTGATGATATGAACGGAGTTCATGAAACGTCTCTAACATGATTAAAAGGGTGTTAACCATTCTATCATTCAGTAATAAATTTATTCATCGATTAAAATAAAAACAAAACGATTTGCTATTGTCGTATGTCCTTATTATATTATTCGCGACACCTTTTGGTATAAGAATGTTCTTTCCTTATTCATTTGGTACTACTGCATCGTGGCAATATTTACGCGTTCTCTTTCTTCTTCTTTTTCTGTTTACTCAGATATGTGAGCAACATGTTTTGTAAGGAACGGAAGATTTTTTTTCTTCTATACTGGACCGAAATAAACAGGAGTATCTAACGGTGCTAATTGCGGCTTCGCAGAACCACTAAAAAATATTCCCTTTATACACCGTTTTTTTTTTCTTCGCTCTACTTTCCGTTGCGTTCTTTTCATTGAAGTTTCTTTTTCTTTTCTCTCAGTATTATTTTGCTTTACTTTTTTTTCTCCGCACAAGGTCATAAACGTAGCGAAACATATTGAATTTTTCGCCAAAAGCATATCCATTTAAAATACTCTTAACAATATTTGACTAAGTTTCAACACAAGATTCACTGAGATAGGCTCGAAAAAATTCATTTGAGTGCAATTGTCAGGATATAAATCAAAAGAGAATTTTTTTTTCGTGTTTGATGTTGCCACAATCAATGCACTTAATACATGTTCATAGTTAAAATGATCATTTCTGAAAAAGTCGACTTAGTAGAGAAAGTTTCATTATCCAAATGATACGATAAAAGGAAACTCCATTTGCGATTGCTGCCTATCGAAATAACAAACGGAAAGCTATATGTTTTCTGCATATTAAATAGAACTGAAACAAAATTTCGTCTTTAAACACTGTTTCTTACGTCGAATATTACCGAGATACATTAGAAATGGCATTAGATTGATAAAATATAACGAAGTAAGTAGTTCGATAAACTATACATTACTGCATTATTCTATTATCACCACTAAAATTATCAACATAGGGTTTTTCGAAATAACTTTTTTAATGGCGATGAAAAAACAAGTTTGTAATCTTGACGCATCATTTAACTCAGCGGTTTTTTTTCTTTCTTTGCAGACTCAAATAACAATGTGACTTTCTTTTTCGCTGTTCCAGTGTCGCATACTCATCATCAATACATGAATCATTTCGTCCTACGACCAATAATACAACTAGTAGGAAGTACTTTCATAATAGTCATAATTTTGACAACAATTACCCAGGCACAGTATCCATGTTCGTGCTCATGTTGTCTCGGTCAAAACTGTCAACCTACTCTGATTAGCTATGCTTATGCTTCCTATTGCACACAAGACAGCTGTCTTCAAGTTTGTCGTGACAAATACTATCAATGTGCAGCACAGCCTCTTTACGGACAAGCCTATGCAGAGTGTATGAGTCTTTCGACTATCGTACCCTCGAATGGTCCATACAGTTGTCGATGCGATTGTTGCTACTCAGGCTCGGCTTCCTGCGCACCTACGTTGATTGGCTATACTACTGCTTATTCTTGCTCATTAGGGGCCTGTAGTATTGCATGCAACTCCCAATATTCACTTGTGTGTGTATCGAATCAATATGGACAAACACAAGGCACCTGTCAAGGAGTTACTATGACAACAACGACCACTACCACAACTGGTCCATGGTTGAGTAATAATTGTTCGTGTTACTGCTGTCAATCAGGCCCATATTGCTCAACGAGTGTTAGTGTTGGTATTACTTCGGCATCTCAATGCTCCACATATGCTTGTACACTAGCATGTCAATATCAGTATCCTTCATTGTGTCCCTCTACATCCTATGTTGGTCAAACTAATGGTCGATGCTTGAATCTCATGACTGGAAACACTCAATGTCGATGCAAATGCTGTGGTACCAATGGATGTAAAGACTATAATTTATACACAAATGAAAGTTGCACGTCATGCTTTTCTATATGCCAGCAACAGACACAGTGCGTCAACAACTTCCAAATTACATACACCTGTGACACAAACTCATCCGTACTCATTCAGTTCTCATTGTTTCAGTTAGAACTTTCTTTTATTCTTATTCAACTCATATTTGTTCGTACTGTATGATAGATAACATATTTTAATCAATTGAATGTTATATGTCACTCACATTCTATTATCATAGCTATACTAGATGATATTTTCTTCTGAACCGGATTGAACAGTTGCTCGTACAGGTTACAACGATACATTTGTTCACATATATGTAGAGAGATCACGGATGTGAGTTAATGGTTTTGAGTGTTCGCTTCACTATACTCCCACTCACACCTTCACCCTCATGTCATGTCCTATCCGATTCAAAAAGTCGTGTGTATTGTGGTCATACATTTCCACTAGTTCATATGAGATAGAATTTTTCATCATCCGCTTCTAGTTTTATGAGTTTATTTGCTTCGCCGACAAGCATAGAGAATGTTGATAATTCTTTGTAATTTAAATGAATATTTCGACGAGTCAATGTAGTCTTTAACTTATTAGTTAATACAACTGCTGAAGTCATCGTCATATACTTAAAAGGCAAAGAAGTAGCAGAGAATAAGTCAAAACAACTTTATTTGCAGAAAGTTTCTTCAAGACAGTAACATTCAAGCATCGTACTGTCTCTTCACATGAGGATATATTAATAATAAGTTACCTGTCTTATTTTCCTACAGTAAAAATATATGTCAGAGTTGAATTCCGCCTTGTTATTGCATTTGATAGTATATGATGTCTTCGATGAATATCCATGGAAAGTCAATTAAGTATCAGCAGCGAAGATACAGGAGATATTGGGGATATATAATTATTCTCTTAGGTTTCTGCATCGACAATATCTCCAATATACTTTAAAGCGGCTATGAACACGTATACATTACCTATAAAACGAGATCTACACATAGAATCTCTTTTAAATGTCTAAAAATATATTAAAAGTCCTAGATATTTCAGATAACCACCTGAGTAATCAACATGATTGCTTGGATTTTTTTGTGACCTCACATGAGTTCAGCAAGCAATCAGTGAAATTAATTCTAACTCATCAGTTTCTATATTTCGCATTATCCATGTGCGCCACTTATTCTTTTCAAACTTTGTTCTGTCAGGTCGACTCGTAACAGCACGCAACAGAGATGCGGCTGCGGCAGAAGAACAAACACACACGTAAGAATACATATACATGGCATTGTCCCAAGTGTGGGTACTGCGGAGCAAAAGCAGGAAGCATCTTACCTTATAGCCTAGATATGAGATTTTGCATATCATTTGCATGTATCTGATGCATTGTATGGATTATGCGCTATTTTATTTGTTACTTATTGCAGATGCTTTAGGTTGTATTGATAGAGAGTTTTTACAAATCAGGAGATGATGGAGATATAGAGAAAACCTGTGTGTACAATAGAAGACTTTTCGTACGAGAACAGCTGCTTCAGATGTAACCATTTCACCGACAGATTGAAAGTTGCCTACATAAATTGATGTTGTACAAAATTGATATGTCAATCAAGAAATTCAGATTAGTACGATGCCTAGTTGCGTATGGCATCGTGCGAAAGAGTTTCAAATAACGCAAGTCAACAGATTATTCCTTCATTTGAGAATCTTGAAAGTCTCTCTAATATTATTGGAACTGAAAGCTATGAAAATAAATGATATGCAATGAACTTTCATGTTAAAAAATGTGAATATCTGGGCAAGAAGACCACTGATTCCTCTTTTACGTGTAGGTATCTATATCTCCTATGACTGTGAATTATCTATTGTTCAAGGACGAGTGAAGTGCAACTGGAATTGTAATATTGTTATTTTGATTTCAAATGAGTCCATTTTCTCCTTTTCTAAACTATCCTCTTTTAGACATTGTTTATGCAATATATTTTCTATTAAAAGTTTCAAATTTTAGTCTATGAAGATTCACATTGATAAATTTGTTATTGAAATAAGCTTTTGATAATACAAATATTTTTTTTTATTTCAAAATGATTCTTCTACAAAATTATTCGTTCTTAGTAATACTAAAAAGTATTGAAATTCGTTTATGTAAGAATGAAATATGAGACATAGATCAAACAAGATGGAAGTCTGTTGTTGATGCAAATATTATTCGTCAATATTTGTTTATCTGATGGAATAATTAATTTAATAATTTTCATTTTTAAATTTTTGTAGAAATAAGTATGGATAATTATTATTTCATATTGGAAAAATAACCGATTCTTTCCAAATTGATCGTCAATGGACTAATGTTAAATATTTTTATGATGAAAATATATTATATCAACCTAACTTTATTCTTCGAATTTAAAAAGCATTCAATTCTCTAATCTTCTATTATAAAACATTTAACTTATTCATTTTTTTTTTTATTCAGTAATTGTTTATTTATAAATGATCGGTTAGATAATCAACATATTGGAATTTATTTGAGTTCATCACTTTATTCATTTTTTAAACAATTCGATAACCTATGCCCTAATAGCTTATCTATCATAATTTAGTCTAGTAAATGTTTTTTTTTTCGATAGTTTTCTAAATCATGCCCACAAAATTTATAATCAAACAAAACTTAAGCAAGTGACAAACTTCATTTAATTTTATGGATGTGGAGATGTAGAGTACATCTACATCTACACTACCTACTATCGTCTTATCCATTTCTTTTCCATGTTAATTTTAGTGGATGTTTATTTTCAATAAACCATTGTGCTATTTTAGTTATATTCTTTGTATCGTCAATTCCAGAATGGTGTCGTCCTTCTAATTTCAAATTTAATTTCTTTAATAAATCTTTCATTCCCCTAATTCGAGTTGATGGATAATATTCCATGTACAAATCTTTTATGTTAATAAATCCATTGATAAATTCAGGGTGGTCAAATCCACTTTGTTTCAGTTGTAATGATAGCATTGTTCGTAAATCCCAATTGCCACATGTTATCCAAGTAAAACTATGACAATTAGAATTATGACCTGCTAATGAGATTAATGAATGTTTAAGTAAAAATTGTTGAACATCTTTCCATACAATATCAAATGTTGGAGAATTATCAACAATAGATTGAGTGATACCGGTTATCGAAATACATAATTCATTCAAAGTTGTTTTAATCGATGGTCGAACATAACTATGATAAATATCAACTATTGTATTAGTTTCAGCTGATAGTAAACAAATTGGAAATTCAATGATTTCCCAAATATCGTCGGGTGACGGTTTTTTCAAGTTAGAATTCGCTTGATGACATACAGCTTCAAAATCTAGTACACAATAATAATCAAACGGTTGATCGACACTATTGGTAGTTATTGTACTGTAATAGAAAGGAACTGTAGTTACACCTAGTTCAATGTTCATATTTGCGTCCATTCGTTTTTCGGTTAGTTCAATATTGATCAGAATGTCTCGATCCAAATAAGTGTTCTGCTCAACAAATGTGACTACATAAGAATTTTGTTCATTAATTTCGGCGTTGACCAAATGCGATGGTGAACTGATTTTAGCAATCTCCCGTTGACTATGTTCGTCCGTTTTTTCTACGTAACAATGAAAATCGATAGTATACGAACTCGACTGTGCGTAACTATAAGTATCATATTTTTCAGATTTGTATTGAGGTGTAATAATCATTGGAACGATGAATTGAATGTTTGAACTCGGTAAAAACTCTAATTTTGTGCCATAAGTGATGTAAATTGTACATTCTTGCGACGGAGACAAACTGCCAATTTTGACAATAAAGTTGTCTTGTAATTTTTCCTTTCGTTCGAATAAACAGGCATCATCATTTTGATGCAATATATTGTTGTAGTTGCTTTGTACGTCTTTGATCTCGACAATATCTTGATCATCAATATGTGCTAATAATAAATAAATGGTGCCTGCTGTTGTTTTAGCCGGAAAGCAATAAACAGTTTCGACTGATGTGTCTGCGTTATTGCGAAATACTTGTGTAAGAGTCACTCTAGCATCAAATGAATAAATCTTTGCTTTGATGATCATCTTCGTTAGAAGCACATATGATGTGCTATCTACTGTCGTTCTGTCTCGCGTGATGCAAAGCATATGGTAAATGTGTATGCGTAGGAAAAAGTTTCAATACGATGCTTATATCTGTAGTTTCAAACTTAATATTTCGTAAGTGAGTGAAACACACCACAACCACTGTCAAACACCCAAAAACAACGGTAAGGAAGAAAAAAAGAAACGAAAAATATGATCTAAGTCATTGTCAAACAAGAGAACATACCAGAATGATTCATTCATTTATTTGTACGAAATAGGACTGATTCGCTTTGATAGTATTGAGAAATCATTTTAACCGATTGGCAATATCTGTCTTTTTGAAGGTCATTCTGCATGAACTATTACCAGCATGTATTATTCTTTTCTCTTCGTGCATGTTCCGTCATGTTTGCTAATGTCAAATTAGCCTAAAAATATGGCACATTACACGAACTTATCCCTTCAGCTTAAAAGTCATCTTTTCTTTAGCATATTTTGAGACATGAACTGAAGAGAAAAGTACTTTCTCAAAGTTATTTCGGAAGATTGTTTCAAGACCAAATTTATCTTTCGTAGAAAATTACAAAATAGGGCGAAGTTCCCTTCTATCGACTCATATTTCAATTAAAATTTTCATTTTTCTACAACAGTGTAGTGGTGAGGATCTAAAGCATGCCTAATTTAACTGTTTTGTTGAAACTGATCGAATCACTTTTGAATTTTTGAGACGTTCAATCCAAATTGTATGTTTCTGTCAGTAAAATAAAAAATGAAACTCAATGAAAACAGAGAATCAATGTTTGCACTGCTAGTTGACACAGTTTTTTTCAACCAAATGCTATACTGAGGTTCTATTTTCAACAAAAAATCATGATAATTGTTCAGAACAATATCTGTAAACGAACAGTCGCTATTCCAAACTAAAATTACTTTAAGCAGTTCAGCTTTTTATTTATAACTTTTATAATTTTCGTTTGAACTCGTAGATTAAAAAGCATCAATCTTCATCATAATTTTACATCCTGAAGTATCGCCTGCATTCATGATTCCTCTGATCAATCAAGTCATAAATATTAATATAGGTCTAGTCCAAGTTAGGCTAAATTAGATCAGTGAGATGTGCACAATGAGGGCTGCAATTCAATTGCATCCGATAAACTCTAGTTCGATTCGAAACCGAAATAAACAGTTAACATTCAAGAATAGAGAGAAATAAATAAATGTTTCTTTTCGTCGTTTTATTCTGGGTGTGTTGGCATCTTCATTTCACAAAGCCACAGCCTACCTAAATGTTGTCTCTTAGTCGATTAATGCCTCATTTAGGAATATTGAAAAATGAGCTACTCTAGTTATTAGATAAATCAGTCTGATTATAAGCGTATATATGCTCCAAACTATCTAACTATGTAAGGTGCACCAAAGACGAAAATAGAGTAGAATTTTGATTCCACTAAATTATGCCTGGTTCGATAGAGCTTCATTCCGTGATTCAGATTATGTACTTTAAATGCTTTTCTTTTAATTAGTTTTGTTGGAAAATTCTCGAAATACAAGTTACTAAGAGAAATAAAAAAAGAATGGCTAGTGAAGAAGAAACCCTAGATTTCAACTGTATCCCATTACTATATTTTTACGAACCTAATTTATTCGAATTCAGTGTCAAATGCTGAGTATAACTAATTGTGTTCGACGTAATTCAATCACATTTCGTTCTCTAGGTGAAGTTGACCAAAACCATCTAGGCATATATGACCTCTCTCCTTTTACATCTTAATTATAAAACTGTCATTTGTACATTATTCAAATCGTCAGTCAATAAGAAAAAACGTTGAGCATTATTGTTTATCTATTTCTCATTGGTACTAAGAAAATCAGGTTATTTCCGACATCGTCAGCGAAGAACTAAAAAGACAACTTGTATTCGCCGATTTCAACTACCAAAATTTCTGTCTCAACTGAAATGAACGTGATATTCAAAATAAGCATGAAAAATCAAACTAATTGACATACAAGTTTTGGAGAAACCTTTTCCATCGAAAATCAACCTGAGGTGGACCACGGAGAGAATCACTAAAAAACATAACTGAGATAGAATAGGAATCAAATTCGGGCGAAAAATGTTCTTTCAAACTAAATAGTATGTCAATTAGTTCGATTTTTCATGTTCATTTTGAATATCACGTTCATTTCAGTTGAGACAGAAATTTTGGTAGTTGAAATCGTTGAATGCAAGTGCCTTTTTAGTTCTTTGCTGGCGATGCCGGAAATAACCTGATTTTCTCAGTACCAATGAGAATAGAAAATAACACTGTTCAACTTATTTTCTTATCGACTGGCGATTTAATTAATGCACAAACAAGAGTTTTATATGTTAAGATGAAAAAGAGGACAGGCGGCTTGCAAAATTCGAGAGGTCATACATGCCTAGATGATTTTAGTCAACTTCACCTAGAGAACGAAATATGATTGAATTACGTCGAGCACAGTTAGTTATACTCCGTATTTGACACTGAATTCGAATAAATTAGGTTTGTAAAAATATAGCGATGGAATACAGTTGAAATCTAAAGTTTCTTTTTCACTAACCAATTTTTTTGTATTTCTTTTAGTAACTTGTATTTCGAGAATTTTTCTACAAAACCAATTGAAAAAAAATTAAAGTATATAGTCTGAATCATCGAATAAAGCTCTATCGAACCATGTATAATTTAGCGAAATCAAAATATTTCTCGATTTTCGCCCTAGGCGCATCTTATTTATTTCAAATCAATTTTTTTTTTCATAAAAGCCAACTTTTTTTTGATGAGGAAAGAGCCTACAACTAAGTGAAAGTTGAGTGAAAATATTATTTATATTAATATACAGATTGAGATGTTTGGTGAAATTTACAAGCACAAAGAGATTCATCTGCATCTACTTTACTATGAAATCTATCAAAAATAGACAGTTCCAGTTAGTTGCAAATAGAGAATAAAAACCAATTTTTATTTGGTGTAGAACGAAAAATATTGATGATAGTCTACAAGACTCTTTTTATTTTACTGCAGAACCATACGAAAGACTCTATTGTTTTATTTTCGCTCAAAACTATACTTAGTTTCACCTGAGAAGCATCATGTTTCCAAAACCACAATGTTTATCAAGGTTTCCTATCTGTGTACAAAGTCTTAAGAGTTTCGTAGAGCACCGATGCTTGTCTGCAAGAGCCTTTTATAGATGCCTTCAAATAAGAAAGACTTTCGATAAAAAGAAGACATTTACTAAGGAGGATTTTATTATATTTATTTCATTTTGAAGGAGTTACACTGACGAAAATAATCGCGAGAATGGACAAGATAATGAAAACTAATATATGAACAATGATCTCTTTTGGAAATTTGCTTCGCGATAGATACCGATCATCGTACAGCATAATTTGTATTTCAGTAAGTTGAACATTTTCTCTTTGCACTGCACCCACAACAACTGCTGGATCAATAAAGGCACCAAGTATTCCAGTGAGAACTGTAGCATTTACAGGTATTTTATAGAACCTGTTGATCATGCCATTGAGTTATCCCCTCGACACTTGATTCGTAAGGATTGGATGAAGAAGTGGTCGGTTACGTATAAATATTACAATGTTGTAGATGGATAATGCAAGATATAGAACTGAGAGTATAAATGGAACTGTTGCACATGGTTTTACATAAATACTTGCAATGCCAAAACCAAAACAGAGAAGAATAGCGAGTAACATTACATATCGGTATAAGAAAAAATGCCCACCACGCATAGAACGTTTATTCTCTGTATTTGTTTGATAATTAATAGAATTCATATTTTCTACGACATGATTATATCTAGCGGGATATGTGCTGCGAATGAAAACCAATATTATTGTGTCACGAGGTTCACCTAATTCCATAGTCGTTTCCCGTGCCACAGCTACAAATCCATTGTTTTCTACGCTAGCTATGTCTACTTTATTATGCCGATAAAGCTGATTTGTCATGTCTTCAATTCTTCCTTCCAATATGCTTGCAACAATCTAAACTGCTCTGATTTTTATTCATGTTACATTGTTGGAAAATACAAACTTATGCAATGACTCATGCGACAATATCCGAGTGATTTTTCATAGAAGAAGTTGATAAACTAAATTGTATGCCATAAATCATTCTTTTTCATTTTTCTCCCTGTTATGCTGGGCTCTTTTCATGAATCAAAAAAATAATTACATAGTTACGAACAGAAAAAAAGCACTTTAGTCATTATCGATGTTATCAAAAAAAAGTAAAGAGTATTTCGGCTTGTCCAAACGTAACGCTGTTACACAGTTTTTTGTGGACCAGTTTTGAGGCACTTAACATGTTTAGAATGGTTTGCTTTTTACAAATGTTACTCATTTCCGTTTAGATAATCTTCTACATAAGAATGAGATTGACACATCGATCCGAGACCTCATAAACCGGACAGTAAGTTGGAAACTGTGTAAGAGTCTGCAATTTGTCTTTACTTACGAAAGTCAAAACTAAATAGGTCATTTTGTAGAGAATTAAATTCTGCATCGAATGGTATATCTCTCAATATTTTTTCAAAAATTTTTTTGGTTAAAAAATTCAAAATATGATTTTTCACAAGTTTAAAACCCGGTTTTTGATTCTAAAATCTTACTTTTTTACAAAATAAATGTCAAATTCGTAATCAGCGTTAAAAACTGCATCTAGTAACGCATTCAGATTTGTCCAACTCGAAAAAACATTTTTTCGAAACTTGATTATCGAAGTGTCGCGTTACGTGGACAAGCCGATTTACTCTCAAATTTGATATCATATTATTGAATGCTTTCGTAGAAGTGTGTACAATTGTGAGTATGAGTGTAGGTGTGAATGAATGCAATAGAAGAAAACACTCCATGGCAGCGCTAGATCCATACCAACACTATGTGAGCATTCAGAGAACTTAAACTACAGTTTGGAGTTCATACCGGATGATTTGCGTTCGCACTCATTACA